AATAGGAATACAATGCCACAATATGAATACAAATAGGATAAAAATACGAAATATATCAACTTGTAGCAGTAGTGTAATGGTGTGTTTTTGTAATTACAATGAATATAATGGGTGTAGGTTCGAATCCAAAAACTCTCAATTTTTATAATTTTATATGAAAGGTGTATGCGATGACATGGACCAATGATGGGTGTGTAAAGACATGGAAATGGGAATTTAAGGCCATGTGTTGACATGGCACGATGACATGGACAAAATACCCTTATTTGGGAAATAAGTTTGAAACTACCCTATTTTGGGAAATAAGATTAGAAAATACCCCTCCCCGGGAAAAAACTCATACAACTATAGTTCACATTTATAGATTATTACAGTTTTCTTTTTTTCTTTAATGCATTAAATGTAGTTATGGTACTCTCATGGATATGTCGGTATGAGAGGTATGAGTTTGTCAGAACATTATCATCTCATTTATTTCACCTGAATTTTATAGAGTAATCGTTTATTATCGATTACATATGAAGGGATCAGAGTCATAAGACTCGTGAATTGAATGTGGTCACGCTAGCTTATATACTCCGTAAGAAATATATCAGTTGCTTCTTCTATATATTTTCGTGCCTTGTTGGCAGTTCTCTTCTTATTACATCATTCTCATTTTCAGAGGCACAGTTGATCCATGTGTTCCTCTAGCTAGTCTTCTATCATGTATGACATGATTAGTGTATGGAAGCAGCTTAGATGTAGTACTATTCTACTACTCTTCTAAAGTTTGAATCGGAAGAGGTTTTATACGGAGTATATTCATACGTTTGAAGAAGAAAAACTACACTACTTGAAAAGTTATGTAGTAATCTCAATTCATCGTATTTTAATTTCTATTCTTTATTTCTGCTTTTAGTTCGATTTTTATACAATAGTGGAAGATTTACGGAGTATTTTAGAAGCTCCATCAAGAAAAAATTTCCGAGGTTCGTAAAGCACAACGGTTTATTCAAGAAGAGCAGGCCGGTTTCGTATTAGTGAGTTCTCTCCTTATATATACTTTCATAGTTTCATGTTTATGGTTTATCTATGGTTATACCTATAAACATCTTATTATCATATACGAAGTATATAGATCCATATTCATATTATATACTCCGTATATACATATATAAGTGAGAATTAGTGATGTAAATTCATATGGAAATAAAAGTTCAGATTTTAATAAAGGAGCAGTATAATTAAAGATATATAATACTACGTATAAAGATATGTTTATCCTTTTCCCTTCATCGTATTTTTTTTTTTTAGATAAAATATACTACATATCTATTAGTATAATTTTCTGATATGGAGGATCCCAATTCTTGGGCAACCATAGAGTATACTTTTTATAGTTTTGAATATATTCAATTATGTTCATACTTCTCAACCTCTGATTTTCTTTTCAGATGAATTATAAATTCCTGAAAATATATACCTGCTGGGAAGATGATGATTTCGAGGATGTGGAGCAAATTCGTGCTGATAACGTGTTATAATATGGAAGGAAATAAGCAAAAGATCAGGGAGAGAAAGTATAGCCTGAATACTTAGTGAGAAAGATGTTATTAGAAGTGTGATAATGGTGTTTAAGAAGTGTATTAATTACAATGAGGATGACTCCTATTTATAGGAGAAAGTGTGAGCTCAATGAGATTAGGAGATCATTGTGAGCCACACATTTATCACCTTGAAATCATAATTATGATTTCCTAATTATTTATGTAATGGTGATAATAATTCCTAATCAGGAATAGTTAGAAGATGACTAATTCAATAATATTTCAACATAAGTGATAATGTAGCAATAATATGGGAGAAGTATGCAAAGGAAATAAATGCACATGATCGGATGAGGCCAAAAGTACACAAGTGTAATTAGCTAAGCATACACATCTCCAGTTACAAATTCACATGGGTATGAACCGTATTATCGGATAAGTTTAATCAAAACTGTCGGTGCAATGTACTCGATTTTTTTTAAACAATAATTGATTTCTGAAAGGATAAAAAAACAATAATTGATTTCTAATCAAAACGTAGCTTCCGACTCCTATATATACATGCGTCATGCGTGACATGCGTCATATACTCTTAGACCTGCAAAGAAAACAAAAACAAAAACAAACCCGAGAACCACGATTTACTACCTCCGTCAAGAGAGAGAAGAGAGTGTGGGTGTGAGTCGGCAGTCGCAAGAAAGAGAGGAAGTTCGCCGGAGAAAGGACCTCGCCGCATCGCCGCTCCATTTTCGGAGAAGAAGACCCAATTGTATGCCGGGCTGATTCACGACGGATGAAGAGGAGAAGCCGGAGTGCCGCTGCAAAACTGACACCGGACAGCCCCTACGCCGGAGAACTGACTGTCGGACCAATCCGCTAAGCGAGACTCCATCACGCCGGCGACCGGAGGAAGGTTGACCTGGGAGGAACATCTCTGGCGAGCAAGTTTGTGCTAACCCTACTGTGTGGGTCGAACGAGGACAACGGCAAAGGAGTACGGCATACTGTACGAATACCCTGCTTCATCTTCGTTATTTTATACTCCGTAAATTTATAAGTTGACTAATTTGTTTTAACAATAATAAATAATGAAAAATTGGTAATTTAATTTGGAATGAGAATATTGAAAGTTGAAAATGGATTAATTAGATTCAAAATAATTACGTGGATAAATTTATCACTTTTTAACTGATACAATTACGTAATAATGGAAGGATTTGATTGTTTAATTAATCCAAATTGATAAACGATTTATTATAATAAAATATTGATTATTTCGAACTTAGTACCTTAACTAGATTGAATAAATTGGCTACGTATTACTTACTAATTACTGGATTAATTAAAGTAGATTAACATAACTAAGGAATTCGGATATATTAAGTATTAGAGCAAAAGCAGATTAAATATATGACTATTAGTAAATTCATTAGGACGTTCGGATATATTAAGGTGGATTAATAACTAAAGTGGTAAGATTAATAAATAACCTAGATTCGAACAATAAAATAAAAGGGAAAAATCGGGTAAATTTTTACAAACAGAATAAGTGACTGATTATGTCATCTTGATTAAAAAAGTGATTATTTAGAGACATGAATAGAGGAAGTGAACTAGGAGCATCATTTCCGAGGTAAGTTTCTCTGCCGATCCAAAATTGTTTTCTCGTATTATATGCTTATTATGCATTATGTGAATAAGTGTGAATTTTGAATTATGTGTACGTGATTTTGAGGAGATATTAGATCTATGGTATTTGAGAAGTGCAAACGAAGTATTTTTGAGTATTAAATATTTTTAAATACCTTTGAGACTATTTGGAGAGATTGAGAAATATTTTTGGAAGTATATCTAAAGTCAAGATAAAATTTACGTTTTCATAAGAAGTGAGCACCCGGGAGAAATCTGTGGTGTCGGTTTTCCACATCCGGATAAATGTGGAGGGTGATTAAGGCTGCTACTACTAAGAAGTACAGTTTGAGTTTGAAGTAACGTTTGGATCTATGATCCCTTTAAGAAAAAGTTATAGTAGTAGTAGTCCCTAATCATTCAAGAAATTTAAAGGTGGGGTAGTTGGTAGACTAAGTCCCGATTACTCGTGACGACTTACTACTCGGAGGGCTTGGAATCCCTTTTAGGGGTGTGCACACTTAAGGTAGTCGTTTCGTTTCCACAAGAGCAGTTGTGGTACCGGCATTGTTCGGGGTGGCCATCCGTAACCACGGTTCACCGGGCTCAGCCAAAAGGTTGAGCACCGCCCTTCTAAACTACTAGGAAGTTAGAAAGATTGGGATTTTGAAAATCCAAAGAGAAGAAGAGTTTACCATTTAAGAAGTGACTTTTGAGGTGGTACCCAGAAAAGAAGAATTTATCAATAAAGAAGTAATTTTTGAAGTGAATAAAAGAGAAAGGAGTTTCGGTGGAGTGAGTTATTTTTATATAATACTAGATTCTCACCCGTGCGATGCACGGAACAAAATTAAGTAAAATTAATAATATATCATTTGTTAATATACGCAGTATTAGTTAATGAGAGTACTGATGTAAACAGAAGTAATAAATGTATTCAAAGAGAATAAGAAGTCATATATATACAATAAGAGTATAATTAATACACTACGCCATTGAAAAAGTGCTAATGAGAAAGTTCCCTCATTAATGGGTGATAGACAATGACGGAATGGTTCCTCACTAGATCCCTCATAAAAAACTTCGTTATTTCTTTAGAAATGAGGGATTTGATCCCTTATAGGGTATAAGGAAATAATAAGGCAGTTTCTGTTATAAAACCATACTCCAACAACTCAAACACGCATAAGAGATTAATAAGGGCTTTTTCAGTGGGGTCAGGCCTAAAACTACCCACAAAATTGCATAAGGGATTAATAAGGAGCTTTTCCTTATAGTATAAAAATTTATACAGTAACATACGGCCTATCATTTCTACCGAGTTTTTAAATACAGAAATTGTTGATTATGTAATAAAACCCAATAACTAAATGCATCAACACAAACAAAATATATATTACCAAAAGATTAAAGTTTTACTTAAACATTGTCAAAATGCCCTTCAGCATTGCAAAAAAATTACAACATATGTAATTATCATTGTTTCATCATACTTAATCACTTAATGCCCTTCAGAGTTTCAGCATACTTGATTACTTTCTTGGTCATCATCACAATCAAAGCTTGACCAGTCCTCTTCAGTAGTGCGCATCGGAACAGTAGGTGGTGCCATTGTTGGTCTGGTGGGAATCGGAACAGTAGGTGGTGCCATTGTTTGTCTGGTGGGAGGATGATGTACATCTGTAGAGTGCACTTGTGATGAAGCAGGTTGTGTGAAACCATTGAGTCCAAATTGGGGGGGCTGATCCCATTGCAGTTGATGTTGAGCCTGGGCATAAGTAAGCCCAAAAAGCTGTCCAAATGGTCCTGGTTGCTGTTCGAACGGTGAAGGTTGTTGGGGTTGCAGTTGTCCCGAAAACGCCGGTTGGTGATGTTGCGTTGATGATCCACCAGCAACCAAGCTAGAAGGGATCATGTTTGTTCTAGCAACACCCATACTGATAAGAACGCCCCACACATTGCTCATTGCAGCATTGAAGCTTGCTCTTTGTTCCTCGTTTTCAACTCTCATTGCCTCATTTTGTGCCTTAAGTTCTGCCATACCACCTCTCATAGTCTCTATTTCACTCCTGAGCTCAACCGTTTGACTTTATAAAAGCATACACTTGTCCTAAAAGTTAAGAAAATATTGTCAAAGATCATGACAAATGTGATGTATATTGATGTCAAATGCATTGGCAGAAAAACCAAGTTATGTAAAAAATAAAACAATAAATACACAAGATGGAAAATGACCATTGCATGGGCATGAGCACTATACATGTACATATATTAGATTGTAAAAAAATCACGAGTATTCTGCCGTTGCCCATAGAGTAGGACTTGTGACAGTTGGGGAGACAAGTATGTTCCTTGTGACATCATCTAGTGCACAGAACACATGGGATGCTTGTAAGTTTCTGATTGATGATATCAAAGCCCTCTGGAAGAAGGAAGTGTATACTAATGGAAAGGTTTGCAAAGAAAACAGAGTTTCTAGACAGAAATGCGGAGAAATCGACACAAAATGGGAGCATTGGTGAAAAAGGGGGTGTTGCTCTGGGGCAAATGTGAGAATTGAGTGATGGTCATAGTTTCTGCCTTTCTCAGTAGTTTTTCTTTTCCAGGCAGAAAAGTAAAACAAACACTGTTTCATGAGTACACTTCAAACTCTAAATCATGGCATGCTCTTAATTTAAAATATATATATATATATATATATATATATATGTATGTATATATATGTATATATATGTATATTGGCCAATTGACTGAGGTGTTTTAATAGTGGATACACATGCTGAGATATTCATTTAGATTAGTCAGTTCATTGATAGTTTGATGATAAAGAAAACACATGGAACAAATGCAGAGGCAGGAAGTATAATAGTACAGAACAAAAATGTTGATGCTGAAATGATGCAGATGCTGAATAATCAGTTCAATGATACTAATCTGCAATCATACAGAAAGAGCATAACTGTGAATTAAGAAATACGTCAATTGGTTTAGATGGTTGAAACAACTGAGGATCTGATATTTGATCAGGAATACCAACCCAACGACGCCTTTTTGAATCACCTGTGATCTCCAACCAAATATCATGATCAATAATAGGATGCAGTGTCCGATCTGGCCCATGAACTTCTTCCATTCGTTGGCGGTATAGAACCTAAAATAAAATGATTTTGCAAAAACAGATTACAAAATAAGTTTCTCGAAAATTAAATTAATTTTAGTGATAAAAATCATTACACCATTACATTCAAGAATACAGTATAAAGTCATACCATATAACGAGCATGCCGTGTTGGGTATGGTTGACCTGTGGTGGGGTCAATTGCATCCCACTTTTCTCCAAACTCCAAAGCAGTTGGTTCTTTTCCTAATTCTTTCTCCTACAATTAAAAAACAAATAATCAACAATTATTCGCATTACAAGTAGAATCATAATAATTCAATTCAATTATAAATGAAGTTATTACAATTTCAGCATAAAGCTTCGCCTTGGACTTTCTTCCTTTAGTCTTTGCGGGAACTTCACCTTCACCGAGGTTCCCTACATAATTTATTTTATTTTAATAGTTATAACTATTTACTAAAAAAGTAGGTTTGAGAATTACATAAATATAAATTGAAATATAAAGATAGGAATTTTCAAGAAATCAAACATATGTTCTTATTTTAATCTTACTGACCAATGCGATTTATCCCTGCAATGGTTGACTTCTTCTTCCAATCGTCTGAGTTCCAGTAGAGTCATAGCTTAGTCCACACATGAGAAGTTACACGTTCTGCTCGAAAGGGAATAAGTCTCGTATAATCCTTATTTTCAGCGAAGTCAGGAATATTCTTTTTTGCAGCCTTTCTAATATTTGACAAACGTGCCGAATAAAGCCAACTAAACTCCGAGTGGAGCTTGGAGATCATTTTCCCATTGTCAGAAGGAGCCCAGGTGTAGTCCAGCTGAAAAAAAAAACAGTTTATCATAAAGTATAACTTAGAACTTGAAATGTAGTTCTTTATGTATTTACCGAGAATCGTGAAATGTATTTCTCTCGATCCTGTGGTTTCAGATTTCCATAAATGGCAGGCCATCCAGTGAACAAATCTGAGGCAATGACCTCGAGTGACTTCTTGACTTTATCATTTAGTTTCAAGCTGAAAATTAATTAACCATTCATGAACAAAACATAAGTCAAATGCAATTCTAGCAATGGCAAAAAACAGTCCAATTAGTTTCAAGCTGAAACTGATATTAAACAAATTACTTTGTATATATACAAAAGACTTACTCTCCAATAATAATGTAGTCACGTTGGCCCGATCCCAATTCACGTCCTGTTTCAGGTTGTGTTTGCCTGACCATTTCTGGTGTGAAGTTGGTCTGAATAGATGCCTCTGTTCTGGGATTTGAAGTAAATGAGGGTCTCACATCTGATGGTGGGGTGTTGGGTGACCCGTTTTCATTAGTTTGGACTATTTGATCTGCTGTAGAGAATCTCTCAGAGGCACTCCTGCCACCATTATTGCGACGTCCACGAATGGCATTGCCGCCACCGCGCGATGTAGATCCCCCTGAAGACATATCTACTTCCAACCATACAAAATAAAAAGCTATAACAACCAATATTTAAGTCGAACACACAAATACAATATACAATTTACACAGTTACACTGCATTGAAAGCATTCGAATCTAGTTCAACATCTCCAGTGGATACTGAGTTTGTTGAAACGCAGCAATCCAAAACAACATAAAAGATCTGAACTAATGGAACGCAGCAGAACTAAACAGTATAGAAGGAAAAGGTTTGTATTGATATATGTTTTTCGTGTGAAGCTCTGTACATGGGGGTCTCCTTTTATACATGCTCTAATCATTAAAGCTAGAAGACTCTTAACAATAATAAATATCTAATGGACCATCTAGAGTATTCCTACATAAACTACAAATCACTAGTTTCCATAATCTACGAGGTAAAATCAATACTATACAAAAATAGATATATGGTCCGCTAACAGAGTTAGTACTCCATTAACCCATTAAGTGTTGAATGCATACTATGGTGTTTCACCAGTGGAGTATTAGCTCAATGTTCATGCCAGAGTCTTGGTGAAACATGATGCAATTGGGTTAACAAACTACCCTTGAAAGCCTACTCAAAAAGCTTAAGTGAGCTCACATATACTTAGAGTATACCAACAAATAGAAATATCAAAATATTTCCATTTAAAAAAAATACCAAGCACATTAAAAATATAAAGGCCTGAACATCAACTAACAAATTCTCAAATTTTCATTGGTAGTTGGTACTTGGTAGCCTCTTATAAACCTGATTTTTGCACATTTGAGTACAAATTGGGCATTACCCTCTGTTTTACTTTCAGTATAAACTGGGGCATGAGGAAAAATGAAAGAGGCAGATTTATAAATGAAATAAGCTGTTGAAAAAAAAAAAAAACTTGCTGAAACATAACCTTGTTCCGTTTTAGACTAAAATCTCTCGTTAGTATGAAATAGCGACAAGGAATCAAACCATTAGACTAAGGCAAACTGAAGCTTAGATAAGCAATATAGATAACCTGTTAGAAGAAGGCAGACTCAGACAAAAGTATAACCCTCGTTGGAAGAAGAACGGCGAAGAACACCCTGAAAATAACCCTCTTATGTTAACCCTAAAACAATTGTGCTGGAAGGCTCTAAAAGAATTCCACAAGTATGTTAAAAAAACTCTTTTTCACTTTGCGGGGGAAAAATTGGGGGGAAAACTGGCGCTAAAAATTCATCAAATTATTTCACTTCGTCAATGGTTTCTGGTTTCAAGATTTTAGTGTGCATAATGACTACTCCAATTTAGTACTGCGTATATTAAAATAAATAAATACAACTAAGTGTCCCTTTTGTGATCTTATTTTTTGGTTTATCAGGCTTATTAGTCAATTTTTTCATCAAGTATGTAAATTTTGATTTAGCCGCTGGATTATGTAATAATAAGAAAAAATGTGATTGAAGTTGTTTTTCTGTATGTATTAGCTGAAATTACTATAGAGGATCATTTTTGCTATCTTTTCACGTATTTTTTTACTTGAATAATAAATTATTATTTTTTCATAAATCAGAAAAATCAGTCAATTCAGCCACTTCAGTCAGAACTTCATAAATTTTCAACAATATCAGACAGTGCATCTGGTCTGCCTGTTAGCCTGTTACTAAATGGGTTATAAATGATCAAATAGTAGAACTAAACATCCTCCCTATTGATAAAGTTAAACATCTTATTTTGCAAAGTCAACATTTTATGTCAACAAATGTTAAAGTTAAATCTTTCCTATTGATAATTATTTAATTTTAGTAATTAAAGCTTACTTATTGAAAACCTTATATTCAAATTTAGTATAAAAGTCACAGTCAAACATTTTGGGTCAAACTTGTTAAACTTTGACTGCTTATTACTCAAAATTAATAATATTTTATCCCAAAAACAATATATAATGTGCTTCATTGTAATATGTATTTTTCAAATGTCAATTTATTATAGATTTAATATGTATATATTAATAGGAAATTACGGTCAAACGTCCACCTAGGAGACCACAAAAGTCAAACCGTGACTTTTATTATGAAACGAAGGGTTAAAAATATTGCACATATTGCATATATATTCGAATAAATCATCATACCTAAAATGTTGGATTCATATGTAATTTGGAATGTCTTCCTCTGAATCTTCTGTATCGTCATCATCTTCGCCTGGAATCACAATTTCTGCTGTTGTTTCAAAATCCAAAAGAAGTCCACTAGCATCAAGTCCGGGATCATCAAGTACAAGTGCATCTTCTGCAACAATGTCTTCTTGGTCAGCATCTTCATCAAATGGGTTTATCGGCTCATGATTTGATAGTCCTTGGATTTTATGCCTTGGCTTTGTTTTGATTACTGTTAGCCAATCACTCAAGCGCTCAGTTGGGTATGTTAAATAATACACCTGTTGAGCTTGACTGGCCATAATGAATGGATCCTCTGGATGTAATCGTGATGTGTGACGGACGTCAATCACGCCTAATGCTTCATGAATTCGGACACCATTGGTTGGGTCAAACCACGTACCTTTGAATATTGTTACCTCATTGTTTTTGTAACGAAGCACGAAAATTTCGTCAACCATTCCGTAAAAATCATAATGTCCATCCCCAGAAGTTTCTCCGAGTACACAAACTCCCCAATTGGACGTGCGCTTACCTTCTCCATATTCTCTGGTGTGAAATTTGTATCCATTAGCGTACGACCCACCATATGCTTTGGCCTTCTTCTTTGGCCATTGAGATAATTCAACAAGTGATGAAGTAAAGTTTTGGGGGAATTCTTCCGCCTACGTGCAGTGTTAATAAAAATATAAGCTATTGACATTATATTGATATGAAGGAGTTCAATATTTAATTATGTGTTTAGTATGTAAAATGTCATACCATTTTTTCAAACCACTTAGCGAAGGTTGTCATTCTTTGTTCGGCAACATCAGATTCAGTGACCATCGGAAATGATTGTCGTATTTGACTCTCAAAATGACTGCAAGAGAAAACTATATTATATCAGAATTAATATAATTTATTTAATGATGTGAACCCAACAAATTTAAAACTTACTCGATGTACGGCTGAACCTCAGGACAATTGAAAAGGACATAACTATGAACATGGTGGAGCTCCTCATTTGTCAATGCACGGTACGACATCCGACTAAAATTCCGTACGGGGTGCTTGAAAATAGACAGCTTCTCCGAATCGTTAGATGATTCCCCTATGGTCAACATACTAGGCAAAACTTCATTCCTTATATGAGGATTTACGCGAGAACCCAAGTTGTTATCAAAGTAATGCTCACAAAATAAAGCGATCTCTTGAACCCAGAATTTCTCAACAATAGACCCCTCAAGGAATTGTTTGTTTTTTGCCTTCTCCTTTAACTTTTTCATCAACCTCTCAAATGGATACATCCAACGAAATTGAACTGGTCCACAAGTTTTTAGCTCCCATGGTAGATGTACTGTCAAATGCTCCATAGAATCAAAAAATCCTGGGGGAAATATTTTTTCGAGCTTACACAGTGTAACAGCAATAGCGTCCTGCAGTTTCTCAATGTCTGCAATACAAAGTTCCTTCGCACATAAAAGTCTAAAAAATTTACAGAATTCAGAAATTGCAGCCCATATCGGCAACCTAAGGTAACCACGCAATGCAATCGGAAGAAGGCGTTGCATGAACACGTGACAATCATGACTTTTCATGCTATAGAATGTGTTATTACTTGTGTTGACACAGTGCCCTATATTTGAGGCATAACCATCAGGAAGTTTCACCTCATTTTTCAACAAGTTACAAATGTCAACAACACAAGACTTGTCAAGAACATAACTTGCTTTGGGCTGGTATGTGGCTGTGTTATGAGTATATAAATGTAACTCTTTGCGAATGTTCATAACCTCCAAATCACGCCTAGCATTGGAATTGTCCTTAGTCCTCCCCTTGACATTCATAACCGTGTTGAAGACATTGTCAAAACAATTCTTCTCTATATGCATTACATCAAGATTATGTCGGACGAGCAAATGCTTCCAATATGGCAAGTCCCAAAAAATGGATTTTTTAATCCAATTGTGTGATCGACCAAACCCATCAGCACGTAAATTGTCATATTGTGACCCAAATGGTGGAAAATCAATGCTCTCAATCCACCTCAAAATTTCACCACCTGAAACTATTGGACAAGGGTTTCGATGTTCAACCCCAAAAACTCCCCATGTTTGTCTATCACGGCGAAATGCATGTTGTGTTCCTAAAAATCTCCTATGACAACCCCACCAACATGGCTTCTTCCCAAATTTAAGCTGTTGGCTCACTCCTTCACCCAAACAGTATGGACATGCTAATCTACCATGAGTGCTCCAACCTGATAACATCCCATACATTGTTCTAAAAATCGGCCTAGGCGGACCGATTAATCGGCCTAGGCGGCCTAGTCGGCCCTAACCGTAGAGGCCGAATCGGTTTAGTCGGCCAAAAAATCGGCCTAGTCGGCCAAAAAATCGGCCTAGTCGGCCGCCTAGGCGCTAGGCGCCCCTCAACCGCCCGACTAGCGCCTAGCGAGTTTTAGAACAATGATCCCATATGCTGGAAAGTCACTTATTGTCCAGAGAAGGCACGCTCGCAATCTGAAGTTTTGTTTTCGACAAGCATCCCATGTCTCAACCCCGACATTCCATAAAGTTTTCAACTCCTCAATAAGTGGCCTTAAGAAGACATCAATGTTCCTCCCTGGTGATCGAGGTCCTGGAATCAACATGGCCATAAAAATGTATGGCTCTTTCATGCAAAGTTCAGGAGGCAGATTGTATACAGCAATGAAAACAGGCCAATTGAGTATGGATTGCTAAAATCTGAATTTGGATTAAATCCATCCGTGCATAAACCTAACCGTACATTTCGAGGCTCCAATGCGAAGTCAGGAAATGTCTTATCGACGTGTTTCCATGCGTCTGACTGGCATGGATGTGAAATAGTAGTGCAAGTAGATGAAGCACCTCGTGTATGCCAAGTCATAAGTCGAGATGTTTTTGATGACATGTACATCCGTTTTAAACGCTCTGTTATCGGCAAATAGCGCAAAACTTTTTTGGGCACAGGTTTCTTTTTCCCTCCGCGGTCCATCGTATCTGGATTGTATCTGCAGGCGCCACACACACTACAATATGCCAAATCCTTGTCATTCCCATCAAATAGCATGCAATTGTTCTCACATGCATCTATTTTATAATAAGGTAACCCCAATCCGCTAACCATCTTCTTTGACTGATATAGGGTCTTTGGTAATTTATTATCACCGGGAACTATTTGTTCCACAATCGAAGCAACTCTGTCAAAACATGCATCAGACATGTTATACTGACTCTTAACACTTAAGAGTTCTGCAACTACAGACAATCTACTATGATCTGTGCAACCATCATACAAAGGAGCAGATGCATTTTCTAACAGCTTATAAAATTCGCGTGCTTTTTCATTTGGTTCTTCAACGACCACCTCATCATCTTCTCCATATTCATTAAACCCAGACATATTAAAATCATTCTCTTCATATTCTGGTCTAACAAAGAATGGATGCATTGCTTCCCGAACCATCTGCGTGCATCCCATCAGGTTATTCTGTTCAATACTATTACCACATAGTGATGTATCACAAGAACTGTCCACATCATAAGGTGTATACCCTCGATATATACTCGGATTTATTGGTAGTTCTTCACCATGACAATCCCATCTATAATAATTTTCTTTAAATCCATGGGCACATAAATGCTTTTCAATAGTATCTCTATCATAATACTTTTTTAATTGGCATTTCTTACAAGGACATTTCACCATACTTTCTTCTTCATTTGCAGCTATGGTAAATGCGTGATTTAAGAAAAATCTAACACCATCTATGAATTCTGGATTTAGATTACCGGAAGTCCGACTTCTACGCTTATACATCCATTCACGGGCTTCTTCCATTTTATCAATTACCTGTTCAACATTTGTTGACAATATAACTATAATATTCTAAATAAATTAATACAAAGCATAATGTTGCAAAAATTTAGAAAAATCAATGGATGCCATAAAACTCTATTAGTAAAAATTCTATAAAATGTAGTGTAAATTTTTTTCACTTCAAATTGGAGAATAAAGTACAAATACGTTGAAATATCAAATGATTTAAAGTATAATTACAAATTTAATTACAATTTCGTAACTGTCATTTATAAAATAAAATAAAATTGAGTGAAGGTAATAATCGATTAAAGAAATGTAAGTTTGACTTAGATAAACCTTACCCGGATAACTTACGGACTCCAAAAGCAAGAAGAATGGTGTTGGAATGATCTGAATCCAAAAGCTGGAACAATGCATATCTGAACCGTCTACTTCATTTTGCAAGAGAGAAGATCGGCCCATACATGAGAGTTGAGAAAAATTGATACGGAGTATATTACGGAGTACTATATTTGTCATTCATAAGGGAATGGCCCGTCATTAATCCCTCATACGCATTAAATAAACTTTGGGGTTGGTGGGTGCGGTTGGTGAGTGGAATTGCTTGTCATTAATCTCTTATTTATTCCTTATACTTTTACTAGAGCATCAACTTCAGATTTGTTTCAAATAATAAGAACAAATTCAGTTATTAAGTCCTTATATACTTTACCTAGGAAATGGTTTGACTATTTTTGAATGAGGAATTTATGAGGACTTATCTTATGACCATCATTCCCTTATTAGTGTCGTTATTATTTTTGTATCATTCACGTAGTGATAGACTTTGAAAGCTAGTGGAGATAATCTTGGAAGAAGATGATTAGATGAACTAAATATTACCATGAGCTTGTAAGAGCCTGCAAGTTTTAAAATACTTTTTTTTGTAAATAACATTAATAGTGTGGTCCATTGATTTGTCATCTTCACTACAAATATTTTTTTTCAAACCTTTACAACCTGAGTCGCGAGACATAACTGATAACATGAATTGTAATATAATCGTTGAACTGATTAAGTTTTGTATAATAAGTCATAAGTACACCTTCACCTCATGCATCTTTTGAAGGCTTGAAGCAATACATTCTTTTTTTCTTGATAAATAATTATATGTTGATCGATGATTATAATGAGCATGACAGATATATTGTTCACATTTAGTGTCCATGTTATTGGAGAGGAACTAAATGACGAAAAACAAAACGCATTGGAGTAATAGGATATCATTTATCTAACAAACATTCAAGTAAATGTTGTAAAATAACTCTCCATTGAGTAATGCTACATAACTCTCCAAAGCGTATGCTTTTTATATACATGTTGGTTAATTATTTTTAAACTTTTTTATTAACTTCCCATTTGAAGTAATCAATTATGGACTGCTATTCTTTTTTACTATTTATATATCCTAGATAGAAATTCACATTCATTAGTATTATTATTTTTATTCATACTATTTACAAAAAATTAAAATAATTATGTACTCGGAGTCTGGATAGTGTACACATTTTAATGTGTGTGTTTTCAGACGCAACAAAACTTGTGAAAACAAAGCAAATTGACTAAACATACCATATCACAAAAACTAATCTGTCATGGTCAAAAAATGAAACAAAATGTACTGATGTTATTCAATTGAGCTCTGAATTTTAAAATTTTCAAAAATAAACCACCAACACTTTAAAAAGTCTAACAAAAACTCAAAATAGCAACATTGAAATGGCAGATGTAACAATGTAATGATCCAAAAAAGAGACAGGAGTATTCCAAATAGCTGTACGTTCCACCAGGTATCTCCAAGTTCTTTCAATAAGCATAGTATACCTTCATCACACGTAAGCTCCCAGTTTAGGTACTTAATTAATTAGATGCTTGAAAAAGTCCCGGGGGAGGGACATAGTCTGTTTAATCAAATCAATCAACAATAATCTAAAAGTGACAAATACAATTATTAGTCACAATGGCAAATCAAACAAAATAACTACTTTACTACTACCATCAAATAAAGTAAAATTTACTTCAATGTTTCAAATTTTCTATTAACTGCACAAGCACAATATACATCATGTATTTATCATCCATGCAATGCCAATAAAGCAATATTAACGCAATAGTTTACAAATTATAACCATTAATCACAAGTGTAACTTTAGACCTTCAATCACATTCAAATAATAAATATAGAAATTTATTTCAAATCCTGAAAAAGTAAAAATCCTTAGTCCAGGCCATAGAGAACAAAAACTTCCAGTTGTTACTTGATGAAGTTACGGGTTGTACCTTTACATCAGAATCCCCCGCCCAAACCCGAAAAAAACTTATCTGTCATCTTTCTTCTTCCTAAAGTATGCATGTCGGTGAGGCTGCCAGTCTGCCACTTGCCTCACCGGCCTCCTAGTCCTCTTTGGATTGGAACTATCTCTGAAAAAGAAAGCCCCAGGTCAGCCATTCCCGTCCTCCAGACCAGAAAAGTGGTTGCTGAGGCACTTGATTGCAAGCAGTCTCAATCTGATGTGGTCTCCACCGTCTATGGCCCTCAGCCCCTCAGTTGATGTCGCTGCAGTGGATGCGTCACTGCTAGCCGTCGATCGCCCCATGCTTTGCCTCCTCTATGCCAAATCCAAATGAAATTGGCGATATCCGGGTGGCTATGAAATTGGCGATATCCAGGTGGCTAGGAAATCGGCGATATACGGCGGGCTATATGGGTTATATATGGAATACCCTCTATTAACCTCCGGACTTTCCAGTGCCATTCATGGGCCGGCTTTCGAGTTTTGACCAACGATTGAGACATTTTTGAGCGGGAGTTTGGCCATGGTTTCCACGGTGGTTTGTATATAGATAGATTATATAAAAATCTATTTTAGTCAAACATGATTATTTTACGGGGTTGGGTAGTACTTACTTAGCTCTAAAGCTAATTTTTGTTTCCTCTTCTTTGTTTTGTTTTCTACAATTTATTTGTGCAGGTGATGATGATTATGTTGATTGTTGATTGCATGCGCCTGAGAGCGGATTAGAGATTCCTTAGAAAAATATAGTCAAGAATAAACATTATTTACAAGTACATTAGTTTTTATTGTTTTATTTTGGTTTTCCTGTGCATCCGGTTAACTGGTTAAGAGATGATCGGGTGTGGCGGTAACACCCATTTCCCATTTAATGTTATTTCCGCTGCAAAACTCTACTTATTTTGAATGAATAAATCAAATTTATTATCAGTAAATCTATTATTTCAAGTATTATTTTGGGAGGGAAAATTGGGGGTGTTACAAATTGGTATCAAAGCGGTTTTTCCAACAAGGGTTTTCAAAATCTATTAAGCGATACCAACAAATGGGTATCAAAGCGGTTTTTCCAACAAGGGTTTTCAAATATTTTTGAGAATTTCTAAAACTCTTTAAAAAGATATACCAACAAGTTGGTATTAAAGCCTATGATTTTCAAATTCGGAAATTTTCAAATAAAACTTTCCTTTATGTGAGTATGATCTTCATAACGACTTTCTTTTTAAAACCGATTGAAATTTTTCCCAAGATGTTTTCTAAAATGTTTTCTATAAAAAAAATTATATCGGTTTTCTAAATGCTCTTTGACAACAACAAAAAAAAAATTAGGAATAATAAATCTTATTAAGGAAGAATAAGTCTAGGATACGGGTGAGGTTATGAGATTTTGAATTGTTTTATTACATGTAATTTTGTGAATTTTTATAAATTCCTGAAATAGGCTTATGTGCATGTTGCACGTATGTCTTTGACTTTGAAGAATACAGTATAGGAATGTCCTAATATATTTTAGAATAATGCTTGGGGACGACTGTGACGAGATCAAGTCATTATATACAATGACTCATCTTTTGTAAACAAAATTCCATTTGTTTACACGTTAAATTAAGACATTTGGAACCGATCATTTTGGATATGACATTGCAATAGAGTAACCCATTACTAGAGTATATAGGGATACTATTAACAATATCCCATTTAGTAGTAGACTAGAGACTCAAAAGTTATCCTGGGTGAATACCTGGATGACTGTAGACAGTGATTTGTAAGGGTAAATGGCGGACAATACAACCAAATTGACTTTTTGTAACATTTGCTTTGTAACACTTTTATTTTTGTTACATATGGTATCAACGGTTGACATTATGCAACAATTGTATAAAAATGTTGCAAAATGTCTTAATGATGATTCATATCATGCAACACTTATTAAAAATTGTTACAACTATCAAGTATTATGTAACATTTATTTTCAAAGTGTTGCTAAAAACCATAAATGTAAATATGTAATTGTAAATAGTACTCCGTACGTATGTAACACGATTAAAATGTTACATCTAATTAGATGAACTCATTTTTTTAAAAAAGAAGTAAAAATTGTTTTGTTCAACTCAACGGAAATAATTAGGGAAAAGGGGCAAATAAGGCCACGTACTAACAAAAAAAGGTCAAATAAGACTTTATTTATGAGACTCTGGCCGGCCTTTGCCATTTGGAGTGGTTCTCGATGGAATTTTTTGATGAATTTTTTTTAACCATTTTATTCATTAAGTCTAGTTTACTCATATCAAGTTTCAGTTAACAATTCAATCGGGAAGATATTCAAATGAATTCTTGAAGATAACTGCGCAGTTATCTTCAACAATTCATTTGAATGCCTTCCCGATTGACGTTTTAGCTGAAATTTGGTATGACTAAACTAGACTTACTGAATAAGATGCTAAAAAAATTTCATCAAAAATTCCACCAGGAACCACCCCAAATGACGATGGCCGGACAGAGCCTCTGGAGACTTTATGGACTTTAGGGAACCCATACTGGAGACTTGTAAATTTGCCTGAAGACATACACCGAAGACTTATATGTTGTTTTCTATTCATATTTTGGACTTGAGTCGTGAACGAGAACTGTGTATTTTTGCATAGGGAACCCATTGCAACTCGAAATGAGATCATCCGATGTCGTATTCAAAATTTAAGTGTTTTTGTTCTCACGACTCAAGTCCAAATTATGGACTTGACTTAAATTTCATTTGTGTTGATTCAAATTGAAATAATCAATTTGAGAATTGGCTACCCACTTTTAATGTGGGTATTGTAATCATATATATACCCGTCACAGTGTTAAACTATTCATACTCGGATGTCGTATTCAAAATTTAAGTCAATCTTATGAATATAAATGAGATCAAAACATAGAGTCGAAATGAGAATTGTATGAGATGTTGTTCATTTCGAGGAATTCTCATTAAAACATTGTGTATACAAAATTTACAATAATGTTCGTATTTGAAAACATACGAAATACAATATGAGATCACAATGGCATTCGCAATTATCGTTGGCTAAGCTACTATGTAATTTTCAATTCCAGTGTTTACCAGTATGTTCTGTTAAAACTACAAGAGAACAACACATGTCTTGCAGGCGAATACATAGTGT